CCCCAAAACCCCAAAACCCCAAAACCCCAAAACCCCAAAACCCCATACAGACCAAAAATTATTGAAACTAATTGAGCATGCGTATAATTTTGCCCTGATCACCAGTCTTCTTGGATTCCTTAGGCTTATGATAAAAGTTGCGGGTTTCCTCATAATAAAAATTATTTTGGGGAGTGTCTCCTTCTGGTTCATCAGAGTCTTCATTTGAGTCCTCCTCTGTGGGATCCTTTCTGTAATTATTCACTCTTCTGGTGAATTCTTGGTATGCTATACAGTTTATAGAGGTAAACAATACCGTTCTTGTTCAATTGTTGATCATTTTCATTCTTGATCGAGTCTACAATGGAAGAGTCTATTAGCATTGGCTTAATTATTTTGACATCAGTTCCTTCATTTATTTTGTACTGCTTCATGAATATAGATGGAGATGAAACATCAGTGTTTACTCCTAATAATTATGCACTGATAATACCGATAGTTGCCTTTTTGGGGTCGTTGATAATAGGATATTCTGGAGGATTTTCATCTTCAGGAGGGAGGTCATATAAAATCTCAGTTCTTGGGTTCTTTTTAGGTAAAACTCTCATTGGTTTATGATTGTCTAGCCTATCTAACGTCTCTAGTCTAGAGATTAAGTTTCTAAAAATACCTCTCTTCTTCATTATTAAGGAAATTTCTGCTAGTTTTCATTTCAACTTTCTGTTGTTTGGCGTTATTTGGATACATCTTTGACTTTTCCAGTTGGAAAAGAGTTTTTGGTTCCACTTGTGCCTTTTCACTTCTTTATTCAATAAATGATGATTAGAATTATAAGAACTATGGATTATGGGCTACATTACTTGTTGAAAGTATAAAAGTGAGGTACAGATAGGTTCAACCTAGAGCGCTAGCTCACTCTCCGTCTATTCAACAGAAGTTTCCTCACGAAAATCATTCTACGAAGCTCTTTGCTCTAGCGTAGTTTGTGAAGAGGGTCACTAGCCATGTAGACCAGATTTGTATTGAAATTTTCATTATAAATTATAAATGGGGTTTTGGGGTTTTGGGGTTTTGGGGTTTTGGGGTTTTGGGG